GGTAAAGTTAAAAAGATTTTTTAATGAGTATTGCGTGTTATTCGTTTCCTGACACCATTAATGAACACCAAATTTGTCTTTCCATATCTAACAGCCCTCTTTTTGTGAATCCAACAACTGCCATTGTCGTTAAACAGACCATATCTTGACTCATCACTGATTATAACTTTTCCCCATTCTTTTTACATTCCTCTGTTGTAAAGCTGTTTTACAAAAGATCTTCCTTTGACTAACCTGTTTTAAAGTCAGAAACCGACTTTTTCTTAGAGTTGAATATTTAAATCCCAGCTTTTTACGTAAGCGTTGCACAGATGTTGTTGATGATTGAATCTCGGTTGCCAGACAAGCGCATGACAGTGATGGATTATTGATAGTTTTGTTGAATACTTCGACTTGTTTATTTATATTGACAGAAATTGGTCTGCCAATTTTTTTAGAAACCACTTTTTCTTTGGAATCAAGCATTTTTTTAATACGTGATACTCTATTGGGAGATACATGAAGTTGGTTTTCTATTGACTTGTAAGACTTGCCGTCTTTTAGCCATTCAATTATTAAGGAGTCAACCTTGTTGATGACTTGCATATGGTTAAAGAGATATCAAACTAAAATTGAATTAATAAAACTTATAAAAATCGTATAAATTTATCATTTGAAATGCTTTGTTTACATAGTCATGTTATTTTTGATGTTAAAATTATAAACATATTTACCTTTAATTAACGGGTGATCTGATTATTTTTACATTTCGATCAACAAAATAGTTAGAGTTATCTTCCGGTTATGATCTGAATGTTTGGTCTATTTTTAAATGTGGTTTTTATAAAGTATCAAAAATGACTCCTAATTTCCCACGATATGTCATTTTTTGTTTCCCATAACATCAATAAAATTAACTCGTTTTTAAATGCACTTTTGATTTTTGTTTAACTTGAAAAAACCTGGATTTTTTTACTTTGTTTTTTGTGCAACTTTAATTCAAAAATATATATTTTTTAATAACCTCGAATACTTCTTTGCAACTTTTTACTTGAAAACCAGAAAACGCTAAAAAACGGGTGTTTTTTAGCATACTAAATCCCGATTCAATACACAATAATGAAAAATTCCCATTATCGACTTTTGAAAATTAGTTTATAATGTTTCACGATTTTTAAAATTTAACGCAACTTTCATCAAAAAGACCATTTTATGTTTTATTAGATTTATTGATTGTTTATTTTTGAGACGAATAAATATAACCAATTGTTATAAACAAGTGTTTAATAGAGTTATCAGTCTAATAATATATTGAATTATAATATATGATTGGTAAGATATGTTAAAAAACATTTAAAATCATGTTATACTAATTTACATAAATATAAAAACATGAAAAGCTTATTTTATCGATAAAAAAACGACCTCATATTATTAACTATAAAAATATTTTTTAAAAATCTAAGAAAGTAGTAAAAATTAAATGGTTAAACTTGAGCAATTTTTCCTCTCTAATGTGGCGCTTTACATCAACGCATTGGACAGTCTTTATAATTTTGTGGAAATCAACCACAAGTGTAAAAACAGTTTGCAAACACTCCACATAAATCCATATGTGAAATTTGACGGCTATCCACTTTTAAATCGGTCTGTTTATTTCTCGCAATTTCAAAAACAATTCAAATTCTATTTTGAATTTATTCCAAACATTGAGACTGTTCAATGCTCACATTCGATGCTAGGTGCAAGACTTAAAGACTGTGGCGTTATAGACAAGGTTAAAAAGATCCGAGTCGTAGACGATGCTTTTAATAAATTCCATTTGAAAACTTCAAATGGTTTTCGTTATTATTGTGACGAAAAAGATATATACACAAACAAAAGAGTTTGGAGCAAAATTGAGTGTGTTGATTTGACTAAATTTTCAGGTGTTGTGTATCAAGATAAATCAACATTAAAGAGTCTTGTCACAGTGAGGTGCACAACACTCCGCCCAGAAATACTTTCCAAAAATGCAAACTTTTTGTTTTCTCCTCAAATCCACAAAATTGTATTTTACGACGTCGTTTTTATTAACTTTTTTGATGACTTGAAACGTTATGTCGATTTGCGAGTGTCACTTGGTGGAAATCCAAGTGACATTTGTTTAATCATTCCCAACTCAATATTCCGAATTACGATGAACACTCAATTTTTGGAGAAAATTGAATACTTCAGAAATCTTGGTGTTGTCATCTGTGACTTGGGAGAAAACTGTGATGAGATATTTAGTGTTCTCGACGAGAAAATCAAAAAGCGGGTGTTTATTTATGGAAAATATATTAGCGAATATCATAGGTTTGATCAATTCAATTATTGGGAGGACGATCTTGATGTTAAATCTGATAAAGAAATGTGTTTAAACTTTTTAAAGGAAGAAAAACAAGAAAACAACTTTTTTGAAGACTTCAAAAAACGAAATTTAGAAATGGTGGAAAGGTGTGCGAGTAAAACAACATATTTAAAATCAAACCTGTCTGGACTTATGTTTGCCAATTACGTTCTTCATAAAAATGTCAGAGAAATCTTCTTTCCACAGCGTGGAATGGAACAAATGGTTTTAAAAGGAGTTGCTAATGTTAAATTAGACGAATTTTCATGTAACAGATTTGAGTTGAATAAGTGTATGGATGTTGACATCTACCTCAAAAATACAAATTTTGTGCGAATAGATTGGGGGTGTAATATTAAAATACAATTAAAAAGCAAATGTGATTACTTTTTAGTTCAACATGTTGATGGATTGAGCATTAAACAAGATGGAGACTTTCCTTTGTTGTTGACTCAATTTTTTGAATGTGAAAATGTTAAACTTTTAAATATAACTTCCCATCAATTTATATGTGAAAAGTGCAAGAATTTGAATTTCAAAAATAATTGTTTTGAAGTTGCATATTTCGTGTTTTGTTGCAACTTAAATTTGAGTTTACAACAAGACGTTTCGACTCGTAACAAATTCAAATTAAAATTACACCCAAAAGTCGTGTTTTTGAAACTTGAAAGGAGTTGTGTTGATGGTCTTCAAAATGGTACAAAGACAAAGATAACAAACAGTGATTTCTCACAATTTAACAACACTTTTATCCAAACACACAAAGAGCTTTTATCTCATTTCTACTCAGCCGTGTTTGTTGGCAAAAACATAATTAAAGGGACAGTGAATGACCCACAAAAACTTGCAAACCTACCCAAATCACTTCCTTTTGTTTTAAAAATCGACTCATTCAAAAAAGGAGTTTTTGAGTTTGGAGAAACCAAGAAAGTAATTTTGAAAGTCCCCAGTGGCAGTACTTTTGTGTGTGAAAATGTAGAAATTGTAGTATGGGAAAAACCAACAGATAAGCCAATAAGAGATATTTCAACTACATTTATAGAAAATATAAAAACTTTGGATATTCACAAAATTGATAAAAAGATAAAAAGTTGTCATAAATATGAAGAGCCGGAAGATGAGACAAAACCCAAACATTGTAAATTTTGCACTACTGATGACTATTGTTGGTTAAATGTTGTTGATGATAGTAGCGAAGAAAAAAGTCTATTAAAAAACACAAAAATTAATTTTGATAAATTGCCATCTAAAGGTATTACAATTATTGGTAAAGTCGCTCATCGTGTTGCACTTTTTAAAAATTACACAAAGCCGTCTTTTAAAATTGAAAAAGGAAATTTTGACACCACAATTGTTGTTTGTGACTTGGACAACATGAAGTCCAACGACTTTAGTAATATACAAACTGAAGAAGTCATTTTGAGGAAGAGCAAAAATAATGTTATGTTGAAGTTCTTTGACGTCGATTTAGAATCTCGTGTATATTGTCCTTATAACCCAAACTATAAAATGCCAAGGCCTGGATTTTACACGAATTACCCACAAACTAAATTTATGCGACTCCCTAACCCACCATTCTATGCTAAGAAATATGACTTTTCAGAAGTGAAATTAAGCAAAGTCACAAAAAGACTCAAAAGTGGCGATTTGAAAATTGAAAAAGTTAACCGCCTCAGAGAAATTGCAACAGACGGTCAACGAACTATTTCTGGAAATTACATGGTTGGTAGAAATTGTTCAAACGTAAGTTGGGCGCTTTGCTCTAAAATTGTGTGTTTGAAAACTGTGGAAAAATTGGTTGTCATTAATTGCAACAATCTCACAAAAGTTGTTCTTTCACCAAACACAAAATATGTTCACCTTCAAAATTGCCAAAATCTCGTTGAAATTGAAGGAGCAACTCAAAAAACCAAAATTGTTGTTATAAAGTGTGAAAAAATACCACATGAAATAATTTGCAAAGATGTTAAACATAAATAAACACCTTTTAACTTCAAATTAATGAAACTTAAATTATTTTTGTTAAATAATTAAAATTATGTTATTTTTTGTAAATGTGACTTTTTTACTAAAATAGGGCGAGAAACCGGCAACCATTTTCTTTTTCTTCTTTGAAAAGCTGATGAATGAAAAAAAAGTTCAGTCTATGTTTTGGCGGTATTTAAGAATGTTTTTGTATTTAAAATACAATATAAAAACAATAGTCAGCAAAAAAACACATATATTTCTTTTGTGTTTTTAATAGTAAAATGTTATTCTTTTAAATTTTTTATTTTACAAAAAAAAAGAAAAAAGCTCAATGCATGCCTCGGAAAAATCTGTTTTTCTTAAAAAAAGATTAAAAAGTTGTTTTTTGTGGCAAAAAATCATTTTTAAAGACGTAAAGAATCGGGACATCAGGTATTATTGGATTGTGATTTTAGAAAATTCAATAATTTTTATTAAATTGTTTTTGAAAAATTAACAACTATTAAATATTTATTGTTTTTTTATGTTTTATTAACACAATAAAAACAGAAATTAAATTAACGAAAAGATAAAATTATAGGGGGTCTATAAACTGGTTGGGATCCATAAACTAGTTGGGGAATATATTAGAAACTTTCGAAAGAAAAAAAACATTATTTACATGTAATCTGGAAAAGAAAAACCCTGCTCTGCAGTTTTGGGAAGTATAAATCATGTTATTTTCTATTTTTGTTTTCGTTGTTTTGTAATTTAAGAATTAAATTATAAATATAAAGAAAACTTGAAAAACATGATTAAAGTAAAAAACCCAAAAAAACAATAAAGAAAAACATGAATAAAATTAAACATTATTTGTATGCAATCATAATAAGTTTTGAAAGAGTGGTATTTTATCTTATCATGCAAATAATGGTTCACAACTGTCATTACATATTAATTTCACGCATCTCATTTGTTAAATTTATATCACACAAAATTCGAATCACATATTGTTAAATTATTATTTCTCGTGATGTATTTTTTGTAAACTTTCTCGTGTATAAATTGTAGTATATCAACGAATGATTATTTCAAGATTATTTTTTATATTATTTAAAACTCTAATCATATATCTGTCGACTTTATTTCATTTGAAATCGTCTTTTTCTTAATATTGTTGATATTATAACTATTTCTAATATATTAATAATTATGATTTTTTTCATGTGTTTATCTTATGTTTTTTAAACAATATAAATTTGAAATGTTTAATTGTGTTATATTTTTATTATTGTTGTTTTAACATTGTATTTACATATTTATTAAAATATAAAAACACGAAATAAAAAACTTAAATGTTTAAAGCAATATAATTTAAACAAAAAAAATAATCACTTTTTTGTTTTAGATAATCTTTTTTGTTTTTGTTCTTTGGTTTCAATTGATACTCTTACTACACCACCATTGACTTCTTTTTTCATTGATCCTTTTCCGTACAAAAATTCTCTCATACCTCTAGAATACAGAACATCAACATCACACACATTATACGTTCTATCTGCTTCAGTTTTGTCTTTAAATTTCTTTGGATCAATTTTGGTTTTAAATCCAATGCTTGCTTGAATAAAAGAACTTCTAACCAATGTTGGTCTGGTTTTTGCGTGCCACGAATCGATAATAGATTCAATTCCTCTTTCAACAGTTGCTTTGGCAAATTGAACTCTCGCTTTTGAATAATTATCGAAAAGATCTACTTTGCATTCTTTGTCATCCCTCATTAATTCTTCAAACCTCATAGAAAGTAACTCTTTTTGAGCAAGATGTCCCTTGAGTGCAGCAAAAAGACACAAATCAAGTGGTTGACATATATGTGAACTATGTGGTTTTAAAAACAACACGTCTATTTTGTTTTTTGAAAGCAGTTCAAGAGCCTTATCATGACCTTTAAATCCGTCCATAAATAAAATTGCTCGTGCCAGAGTGTTATAAGATTTGCGTCTTTTTTTCACTTCTGGAACTAAAACTATTTTAACCCATTCATAAAACAAATCACCATTCATGAAACCGCGTTCTTGTGTTCGAATGTCTGCACTACTCTTTGAGTTCGCAATTACCTCACAATTGATTGTGACCCTGTTCGTTACAATGAGCGGTCTTAAAGCAGAACCATATGCTGAAATACATCCCAATATAGTTATTTCGTTTCCTCTTTCTCCAATAGGTGTGTATACAGCTTCTCCAATCGAATGACTAAAACACACAGTTTGAGCAACTGCATCTACAAAAATGTCAAATCCTATTTTGTCCAAATTAAACACAAATGACACATGTTTTCCATTTACCATTTTTTAAGGCTGGACAAATAATCTTCTATGTCATCTTTCTTTAAAATGGCTCTTCCAGCTTCCATCAACTCGGCTTTCATTACACCCATTTCGGGCATTTTCTTAACTATTTCTGCGACTTGTTTTTTGTTAAATTGTTATCATCCTTTTTCTTCAAAGTTATATTGATAAAGTCTGTAACATCTTTCACGGTCACTGATTTAAGTTCTAATTGAGAACGTTCTATAAAAGCTTTTATTTCGATCTTTTCTTGTTTGTGAACAAGTGGTGGTCTCCCAACATCTTTTGTGACTCCTTTTAAGATGTTTTTAATTTGTTTTTCAGTACTTCGTGTTCCTCCAAAAAATAAATCTACATCACTTTTCCACCTTCTTCTCCATCCAGTCGTTCCAAGTCTTTTTAAAAGCTTTTGAATCTGTTCAAAATGAGTTTTACAATCATTAAGCTCTTTTTCAATTTCAATAAATATTTTATATATTTGTGGCTGATCTTTTAACCTTTCTGTAAGGTTTTCATGATTACATTTCACACATGGGCGTTTTTCTATGATTTTCTTATCTTTGACATTTTGCACTATTTGATTTTTTTGCTCATATGTTTTGATTTTTAAGATTATTATTAAACATTTTATTGAAATAAATATTTTAATGTTTTAAAGTCTTGTTTATATAAAACAATGTTTATAAAAGTTATTTTTTTTAATTTATAAAAATATAAAATATATATTTTTTATCAGTAAATTTTTTTACATTTTATTTTTTAAAAGGTAAAAAATTCATTTAACTTTCAAATTATATTCACAGATAATATCATTTACTCGATGTTGATTTCGATTATTTTATTCAAGATATGTTATCACAGAATCTGTTACAACAATTTGAAATTCCAAATATTACACAATAAAGAGTATAAATAATTTTTACATAGACTTTTTTTCAACTTTTTAAAACATATAATTTACATGTTATTCTTTATTACGAAAAATAATATTATAACCTTATCCCACATGTATTATATATATCACTTTATGAATAAACATATTAAAATGAATATCATCGTTGAGAGAAACGATGACTATTTTTTAGATAAATACAAAAACAGATGTCTCATTTTTCGTTCCAAAAAACAAAAATTATTGCAAATTTTTACCCGTCACTTCACAACGGGGTTGTTACAAAACAATATTTGTGAAAAAAAATATTTTTAAAATTTACAAATACAATACTTGACTTACAAAAAGCGTTCATATTATTGGCCAGTTAATAAATCCATTTTCCTTCCGCAAACAAATAAATCAAAATTGTTCCAAAAAGTGAGCGAAAACGGAAAATCAAGGGTTTTTGTTCTTTTGAATAATAACAATTAAAAATAATTGATTATGTTTTTCGTATTCTTCTTTTCGAATTTTTGGAGCATTCCCCAACCAGTTTATAGACCCCCTATATAGCAGGAGCCTGTTTTCTGTTGTTTACTTTGTCATGTTTGGGTGGTCTGCATAAGTCCCGACAAGGATTCCATTCAAATGTTAATTTCAAGAAGAGAATAAAATTTGAAAACGAAGTTTGTTGAATTTTTATAAAATATGTGAAACAAACACACCAATTAAACACAATAAAAC